CAGCACGAGTCAAAAAATGATTACACAATTTACTGCAAATGCAAACAGCCAGAGGCGGTGGGTGGGGGCCGGGCATATGACACTTACATACATACAGATATGTCTGGCTTATAATATAGATAATAAATCATAACGGTTAAGTGTTTTCAATTACCCAATTTACCAATCGCAAATCGCAAAGCTGGGCACGTTCCAATGCCGACAACGACAGCAAAAGCAACAACAATGACAACAACAACAACAACAACAACAGCTAAACGCTATTTATCAGCAGCAACAAAGCTGTCTGGCGGGGGTCTCGCGGTAGGGGTAGGGGTACTGCTGGCTGCAGGCGAACTGCGAAGGCCGGATGAAGCGACAGCCGCTGGCGACGACTTTGGCAAAGCTTCCCGGGCAAAGGCAGCGGCAAAAACAAAAAGCTGATAAGTTCGTTTTCGCAATGGACGGCAGCGGGTGTGCGGCGTCGGGCGAGAGCCAAACGTCGCGCTCGCCCACTCTCCAAACTCTCCAACACTCAATTTTATATCTCTGTCTGTGTGCTTGTGTGTGTGTGTGTGTGTGTGTGTGCAGTAAAGTGCGACATTTTGCTGCTGATTAGGTAGCGTTCGTTTTTAATAAAAGTACGACAAACAAATAAAACACAACAAGTAGCTGCACATACACACACACACACATGCACACAGACACACAGGCACGGCACCCACAAGCCAAAGCTTCGGCCTCGGCCTCGCTCTCGCTCTCGCTCTCGCCTTCGTCCTCGTCATGTTGCCCGCTCGCTCACACACCCTCTTTGGCGCGACTCTGCCCCGCCCGACTTTGTCATTGCCTTGAAGGTTATGGCACGAGCTCGGGCACGTGCCAGTTGTTACGTATTTGCGGCTGTGGCTTTGGCATTATGCATGTGCCTGACTCTGTGTGCGTGCGTGTGTGTGTGTGTGTGTGTCTGTGACGACAACGACGACTTTGGTTTTAGCGTGCCGCCATATGTTTCCGGCAAGTGTCCTGCCCCCACCCACACCTACTTCCCGGCCCATGCCTTGCCTTAGCCATGAAAAGCGTTGAAATCTGCAATGCCAACAAGTAAAGCGGTCGCAGGGCCCAGGACTTTGCCTTTGCCTTTGCCTTTGCCTTGACACTGCTGGGTGCTGGGCGTGCAATTTTCCACAGCGGGGGTTGGAATTTCAAATGAAAAACTGACAACGGCCCACAGCCCACAGCCCACAGCACAGTGTCTCATGCTGCCCAGCCCCCCTTGCCACTTGTGCAGCTCGTTGGCCGCAATGCCATTTGGCAATTTACATTAGAGATGCACGCGTGACACGAATCGACACGCAAATATATTGAAGCAGCAAAACTCAGAGTTCACATATTGCTAATGAGCTCATCGAGTGTGAATCGAGTGTGAATTAAAGGATGAAAGTGTTATAAAATTTATATAATACACAAGACTTTGAAAGCCAACAGCTCGAGTGAAGATTTTCTATGCAGCATCTGATGAATTGTGCTTGAAAAATCACGACACGAGCTCAGATCAAAGCGCTGTAAAGCCCATACCTGGAGTAAAAATAAGTAAGAACAAAACCCTTCGAAAGTCCAACTGCTCGAGTGAAGTTCTTCGATGATAAAACCTGTTGAACTCTGCACGAAAAAGGGCGGCTGAAACTCAAATAAATATATAAGTATAGAAATTATATAAAATAATAAATAATTATATAAAATCCTTAAAAGATAAACTATACGAGTACATTTTCTCTATGCAGAAACCTGTTGTATTGTGCTTGAAAAAGCACGACACGCGCTCATCTCTAGGCGCAATAAGGCCCATAACTGAAACTCAAATAAATACATAAGTATAGAAATTATATAAAATAATAAATAATTATATAAAATCCTTAAAAGATAAACAATACGAGTACATTTTCTCTATGCAGAAACCTGTTGTATTGTGCTTGAAAAAGCACGACACGCGCTCATCTCTAGGCGCAATATGGCCCATAACTGTAACGGCGACTGTAACCCGATATTCGTATATCGTATGAGTATCTTCGTATGTGTCTTCCTGGCCGCATAACGACACCTTCTGTCGACGCCGTTGTCGCCTGTGCCCTTCCTCTCCCTCTCCGTCTCCGCCTCCGCCTCCCGCTCCGTCTCCAGCTTCGCCTTTGCACTGATTTATCAGGGTCATAAAAGTAACAAAACGCATTTGTCTATTTGTGAGTGAATTGTTGTTGTTTTTGTATTTTCATTTTTCGTTTTATTTGAAAATCAGCTAATTTATTGTTTAACTTAGAATTTTGTGTGGATTACATGTGAAGTTGCGCCGCAAAAATGGTTCTAACAATAATATAATATGTTTCTAATAATTATAATTATATGTTGTATGTGCACACATTCAGATTTCTAAATATATAATTGTTTATTAAGTTTATATCATAATTTTTTTCCATTTTTTGTTGTTGTTGTTGTTGTATATTTAGTTAATTTTCAGCATCAAAGTTTAAACATTTCACTGGGAACAAACATTAATATCAGAGCTTAAAAATAATATAATTATAATTATAGTTTTTGCACGATGCCAATAGCCAGAGTTAATCATTAATTAATTGTTAGTTAATGTTGTTACATATTAAATAAATATACAATTCTATAATTGTTCTCAATTCATTTCTCTTTTAGGAATTTACAACAATTTCGAGCTGCAATTGTTAAGTGCTTTTCGTGCGCAGTTTCCAGGGTTACGCAAACATATCGATATCGCGGGGGTTGAGGGTTGAATGGGCAAGGGGGTGGGGTTTTTGATTTATGTAAATTTGAACAAATTTTTACCAAAAAGGTGGTTGTTAGATTCTCATCAGCCAAGGGGTTGTTTTTCTTTCAATATATTAATATTTATAACTAGACAGGGCTGAGAGAGTAACTTGACGATATCGATAACGGTGACGATAACGATATCGATACCGATGACGTGAGCAGCGGAAACTGCGCCACATACATATATATATTATACAATTCGGCTGTCGTTGCGGCCTTTAAACTTTATAAATTATGTACATATATAAATAACAGATAAAACACAATGCAAATGTTGCGACACAAATTTATAGAGAGAGATATAAACGAGCTCGTAAAGCTTTGCATGACGATATTTATCGATATAGACAACGATATACGATACACGATATACTAAAAGTAGCTAAACTAAGGCCAGGTTGTTTTTTAAATTTATCGATAGGCGCGTGTTAAGCGATAGAAAGTTATCGATAAATTTACTAAACAACAAAGCACCTCCTTTTTTTACTCTTTTTATAAATACAGTTTATTATGTTGTTTTTTGGTCGAAGCTTTTTTTTTTTCTTTCTGTCGATTTTTGTCCAGATTTTTGTCGCTTCGATATTTAAATTTATGTACAAAGTTCGTGCTGTAATTAAACGTAACACTAATGCGATAAAGTATCTACACGTTATTTGAATATATTTATATATAGGTGTCTATATATATTTATATATAGTTATTTCGTATATGTATCTGTTGAGTTTTGTATCTTTATGCTTGACACGCTCAGCTCAAGCGGCGCAAAATCGTTAAAATTTTATCGCCTCAGCGAACGTGCGTGAGTGTTTGTGTGTGTGTACGTGTGTGCGTGTGTGTGTCTGTGTGTGTGGCTACTGTTCACACACCACCACCGAAAAATCTAAAAACCCAAAATTCGCAGCGCTCGTCAACAACCTGCGTCAAGTGCGCGTTTCACACTTGGCCGCGGACAAAAAAAATGTAGTTTAAAAAAAAAAAACACTTCCGATAAACTTGCTGCACGTTTCTCATCATATTAAATAATTTATGCGATTTGTTTTTGATTCTAGCTACGCGCAATAATACAAATACGCCTTTTATTCCCCTTCCCATGTTATCAGCTTACAATTATTCCGTTTATGAACTAGCTGATACCCTTAAGGCGCTGTCTATGGAGTCTATGGGGTATATATAGCCAGTTCTTTTAACTTTTGACTGTCATTATAATATATATGTATTGGAACGAGTGCTATTTTCGAGAGCTTACGCGTTCGATACACTAGCTACTATAGGAACAAATTCTATTCTGGTTTCTACTACCCGTTCTTTTATAGCACTCGTTAGCACATGAACGAGTCCGTTGTAGAGCACAACGAGTCGCAGTCGCTTTATTCCGCACTCGCTAGTGCAACAACGAGCTGTCAAGAGCCCAACGAGTCGCATTCGCTATTGCAACAACACGTTGACTCAAGTCACGAGTTTATTTAACTCATTTTTTCTTTGCATTCCTTTCCGAGCGGCACTAGGGTTTTCGCTTCAAGCTGACTCGCTGGCGCAACAACGAGTAGATGAACAACTCACTTTGCTTGCGAATTCGCCGCATTTAATTGACGCACTTTTTTAAAAGCACTCGCTTTATCAGCAGCGAGTTTGTTGCCGAGTTCAACTTGGCTTAGCTCTCCTTTCTTCTTCCTCAGACGCACTCGCTGGCGCAACAGCGAGTAGTTTGATCTGCCAAATATTCCTCATCATCTTCAGCGAGTTGGATTGGCGACGTGTGCCCGACACGTTAGCGTATGTATAGCAATATTGCCAGCGATTAGAGTATCTACGTTTCTGTTTATCTTGTTTTTGTTATTTTGCTGATATTTTATAATTAATTTTCGTTCGCATTTTTGCTTTGCCAACAACAACAGCAACAGCAACAACAACAACAGCAGCTCGCGTTGTGGTTATTTATTTATATTTCGCATTTTTGTGTCAGCTTTTTTTTTTGTGCTGTTGCTGCTTTTGTTGTTGCTGTTGTAGTTAGCAACAAATACGTTTATATATAGTATACGTTATATATGTTTCCATTACGCTTATAATTTATTTCGACGCGTACTAATTCCAATCGCAAATATTTGCATATGTGCGCGAATTTGTGTCGCATTCGTATCTACAGATGTGTGTGTTTAAGTATCTTGAATCTTATAGCTTGTATCTTTTTGTTTTTTTTTTTTTTTGGTATTGGATTGATGCGAGTTTTGTCTTGGGTGTGTATTGCCAATGAGTGTGCTTATGCTTAAATTGTAAGGCTTACTCGCTGCAGCAAGGGGCGTGTGTGCCAGCCCCCCAGCTGCCTTTCTCCGTGGTTCTCAACAATTGTGATTGCAGCAGAACTGGAACTGGCTGCGTTAGTCCAACTGGAACTGGAATCAGTTTGCATTTGGATTCTGATTGTTGCCGCTGGCGCTGCCGCTGCTGCTGCTGCTGCTGGTTTGTAGACTCTCGAGTGGCGCCACGAGATACATTTGCGTGCCGCACATCCAAAGAAACGCTGCATTTGTTTGTTGAGTACAGGAAAATTGTTATTCATGGATGAAAATACGAAAATGATGTAATGTCCAAATGAGCGAGAGAGTGAGGGAGAGAGAGAGCGAGAGACTGAGCGTATGACAGAATGAGAGACGGCGTTGCATGCTGCGGCTGTTCATTAAAAAGCAGGCCAAAAGCAAAAACAAAAAAAAAGAAGCACTGCATAAAAAGCAACTACAAATAAAAAGAGTTGTTCTTGTTGTTGTTGTTATAACGGCAAAAATAAAGCAGCGCTCGTAGGAATGACCGACCCGGCGAACCAACGAATGCCCGACAAACAAACCAAAGACCCAGACAGCGAGAGCGAGAGAGATAGTTTGATAGTTAGTCGATGGGCGGGGGGGTTGCGGCGCGGCGTCAGAGGTGAGGCTAACGTGGAAGACACACGTTGACGAACGTTGCCCGCTAAATTTGTGTATAATGACTACTTGAGAAAAACGAAAGAGCACAGAAAAAGCAAAAAGAAAAGAAAAAAGCAGAAAAAAACAGAAGAAGAAAAATAAAAAACGAGCAACAAGCAGAAAACGCGCAAACACGAAATGTAATTTGTATAATTTGAGACTCGTATTTTTTTTTTTTTTAGTTTTTTTGGGTGAGTGTGGGAAACGCGCCAAAAAGAAAATACATACACAGAGACATGCGGAGAGGTCAGTCAAAAGGCAAACAATAGAAAAGAAGAAGAGAAAACGAAACCCACTAAAGCGAAGGCATCCAAAGCTAGGTCCAAGAATTTACAAGCAAATGAGCAAATACCTTGCATGCTAATGAAAATTATGATGATGATGATGATGATGATGATGATGATGATGACAATGATAATGATGATGACAATGATGATGGCAATGATGATGACAATGATAATGATGATGAAAATGATAATGATGATGAAAATGATAATGATAATGATAATGTGAATGATAATGATAATAGCAATGATAATAATGGCAATAAAGAGCAATAATATGTGCAATAATATTAGTAATAGATAAGCGAATAAAAACAAATAGATAAGCTCAATTGTCTAGACACCCAAATATTTGTTGAAATGCGGCAATTGTGTATTAAAAATTGATTGAAAGGTTAACGTGAAAGTAAGAATATCTTCGGCATGCCGTAGATTTAATACCCCTGTAGACATATAGCTTATATGTGAGCATTATAATAGAGCTAATGAATCCCGAGTTTGGTCAAGTTATCGTAATACAAGAAAACAAAATTCCATATCAGACACAACTTTTCGACTGATCGTTCCTATGGCAGCTATATTATATATAGGTCTGATCCGAACGGTTTGAAGACAGACAGACGCACATATATTGTATATCTCTCAACTGTCTGAACTTTTCAATAATATTCCGCATTCTTTAGAAACAAAATAAATTATGCAAGCTCTTCAAGGTTCATATGTCAATTACTCACGGAATTTTAATGGAACCGACAACATTCCATAAGAAATGCGTTTTATTTCGAGTCGTTAAACTATCCAAAACTGTAATTTCTACCATTAAAATCTATAAATAGCTTCTAAGATCCAAAATATAATTTCAAACCGAAAGCTTTTAAGAACTTTTTATGCCAATAACAAAAATTAAAATCAAATTTTGAGAGCATTAAATGTTGCACTTGAAAATGAAAACATCAAATCTTAAAATGGGCAGCATAACAGCAACTGTGCTCAGTTTATAATGTGTAAAAGGCGAGTATAGTTTGTGCATATGTGAGTAAAAGTGAGTAGTTACCATATTCAAGTGAGTAATAATGAGTATAGTGCTTAATAAAAGAGAGTATGTGCGAGTATGTTGCGAATATGTGCAATAATTAGGCATTAATGAATAATATCAATGAGTAAATTAAATATATTCGGTGTAAGTTGAATATATTTAAATTATATTCTAAAGAGAAATAAGTATGTGTGAGTATATTTTCGGGTATATGCAAGAGTATGTGTCTTACATGTAATAAACGTGAGTCTGCTGTTAAATTAAGAAAGTATCATTGAATATCTTTAAAAGAAAAACTGAGTATTTAAGAGTATATTCTAGAAGCATGCAAAAGTATGTTTCCCATTTGAGTATTTAACTAATTTGTAAGGAATATATAAAAGCACTTTCCATGCAGACATGCTTCTATTCGAGTATTTTTCTAAATTTTACTGTACATCAATAAGTATATTCACTGCACAAATGCGTATTTATGCGTATCAGCTTTCTTTTCAATGAGTATAAATAAGTATATGGCTCATTTTCTCTACAAGTGTCGCTCAGTCTTTCATTTAAGTGCATGTTTATGTGTGTTTCGATATGATATTCGATTTATATGAACATTTTGGGGCACTTACCTTGTGACTAAGCGGAACTTGCCACCGATGCCAAAGTGTCGGTGGCGGCAATTTGAACGGGCGGCTTTGACATTGAATCGCTGCTGACAGCACTCGCAGCGCTTGGCATCGCCAGCGAGGGCAGGGCGAGTGTGGTGGGCGTGGCAGCAACTGCTGCTGTTGCAGTCGCAGTTGCTGCTGTCGCCGTTGCAGTTGCTGTTGCTGTTGCTGGCGCCTTGGCATCCGTTTTGGCCACGTTAGCCGCACTGCTCGCCGCCTTCTCCAGTTCCGGCGTTTTGGCTGCAGTTGCTGCCCCATTGCTGCTGTTGCTGCTGTTGCTGCTGCTGCTGCTCCCGCCGAGCACAAGTGGCGCCTCTTCGGCGAGGGCGGCGGCTTTGGCCTCGGCGCGTATGTTCAAATTGGCAGCCACTTGATCGATTGTTGTCGGCTTCTTCAGTGCACGCGGCGAGGTGGCAGCAGCAGCAGCAGACGCAGTGCAGCTCGTGTTGTTGTTGTTGTTGTTGTTGCTGCTGCTGTTGTTGTTGTTGTTGCTGCTGGGACTGAGCAGCGTTGCGGCTGCTGCCAACTTGGGCTGCTCTTCGGCTTTGACTGTTAACGGCTTGGCGGCTGCAGCAGCAGCAATTGCTGTTGTTATGGCAGCAGCAATTGTTGTTGTCGCAGCAGCAATTGTTGTTGTTGTTGCTGCTGCTGCTGCTGCTGGTGCAGTTGTTGTTGGCGTCGCCTGATTGCGAAAGGCCAACGCCGATGGATTCGGTATGCTGCGCACAGACGCATTCTGCGGCCTGACCAGCGCATTCTTTGGCTTATTCTCGTAGATGTTGCCGCTCTTAATCGAGATCTTTTCGCGCGCCGTTGCCGACTCCGAAAGCAAATGCAGATTTTGTAGATCATCGCCGCTGGCAGCTGTTGCTGCCGCCGCAGAATTGTTGTTGTTGTTGTTGATGCTGCTGCTGCTGTTGTTGTTGCTGTTGCTGTTGGCGCCAAAGTTTTGCTTGATTTTATTTACAGCAGCCTCCAGGCTGTTGCTGCTGCTGCTGTTGTTGTTGCAGCTCAGGGCAGACGTTGTGGGCGCCAACTTGTTGTGCTTGTTGCTGTTGCTGCTGGCAGTTGTTGCCTGCTTGCTGCTGCTGTTACTGTTGCTGTTGCTGCTGCGTCCTGTGCCCGCTGATAAATCAAGTATGTCAGCATCCTTGGCTGTTGCTGCTGCTGCTGCTGCTGCTGTCGTGCCAGTTGCTGTTGCTGGCGGCCGAAAATCGCGCAAACTTGTTTTGGACTTGTCCAGCGCGGCGTTGCCATTGGCTTTGCTTTGATTGCTGCTGGCAGCAACAGTTGCTGCTGTCGTTGCCACTGCGCCAGCAACAGTTGCCGTTTTCTTGGCATTGTCTGCGACTTTGGCCGCGCCAGCATTTGCCTTGGCTGCGAAAGCGTGTTGCGGGCTGCGCAGATTTATTAAAGCAGGCGGCGATGTGCGATAAGCCGCATTGGGCATGTTGCTGCCGTTGCCGCCGCGCTGCCCGCTAAGCGCCACCGAGAGCGGCGGCGACTTAACCATGGCCGGCATTGACAGCGGCGGCGACTGTACCGCATGGGCGGCGGCACGTCTGGCCGGCTGCTTGGCCGGACTGGCCGGCGGACCCATCAGCGATGCAGCTGATCCGCCCAGGTCCAGGCTGAGGCGCGTAATCTCCGCATACGGATGGCTGAGGCCATGCAGCGTCTGGCCCACCTGTTGGCCCACCTGGCTGTTGCGCGCTCGTGGTGTTGTGGTCGCCGTTGGCTGCGGCACGCTAAGGCTCAGACTGGCCGAACAGCGCACCGGCATTGGGCTCGTCTTGGCCATATCGGGTCCATAAACACGCATGGGCGGTGCACAGGCTGGGCTCGGCTTCAGCCTGGCGGCATATTTGACCAGCTGCAGCTGCTGCTGCTGCTGCTGGTGGTAGTCCAGGCGCGGATGTTTGGCCAGCAGCTGGGCCTGCGTCTCGTCCAGCGAGAGCGAGCGCTTGTGCGGTTTGTTGGCCGCGCTGGCTATCGAGCTGGGCGTCGATTGGTAGCGCTGGATGTGATGCGGCGGCAGCGGCGGCGCCTGCCGCTGCGGCGTCTGTGGCACGGCAAAATGTGGTGCTGCATTCGCAGTGGGCGTGGCACAGGTCAACAGCATGGGCGCCTTGCGATTGTTGTGATTGCTGACAAGCTGCGGCTTGGCGGGCTTCGGCGGCGCGGCCAGTTTGGGCTTGACGGGCGCAGCCGGTGCAGAAGTGGGCGTGAGAGTAGCCGGGGGCGTGGCTGGTGTACAGCCCTTGAATAGACTGGGCGGCAGCGGTGGCGAGGCGGGCAAATTGAGCTCTTTGCCGCTGCCTGTCAGCTTCTCAGCTGCAATAGCAGCAGAGGAGGAGACGGCGGAGCTAGCAGCGACGGTCGAGGAGGAATTGGAGGCGGAGGAGCTGCTGTAGCTGATCGGCATCAGGCTATTGATGCTGCGCGATTCCTCGCCCAGCGTGCGATTCAGTGCATCCTCCTTGCTGGTGGCCAACGATGGGGCCTGCTCCTCGAGCTTGAGCTGATTCAGCGAGACCAGCTCGCCGCCAGCGAGGGAATGGGAGCGCTTCAGGTCGAGCTTGTGCGCCTTGTGGTTGTGCGTTGTTGTTATTTTCATTTTCATTTTGCCGTCCGTTTGCGAGGAGATCTCCGCATGCAGTTTCTTGCGTTTGCCATTCGCGTCCTTCGGCTCCTTTGAGTGCTTCTTCTTGCGCTTGCGATGCGAGGACGTGGAGCAATTGCTGCTGGCATTCGTGCAGGTGCTGGCATCGACAGTGCCACTGGAGCCGTTCGTCGACGACGAGGAGGAGGACATGGGCGACGCATTCGGGCTGTATTTGAGCACATCCTGCGAAGGCACGTACGCAGCGGCTGCTGCAGCTGCCGGCTCGATGGGCTTGAGGCCAATATTCTTGGCATATGTCTCCAGATCGATCTGCTGCTGTTGCGCTGTGGCCGTGTCCTCAAGCCGCGGCTCCGCCGACTTGCTCATTGTCAGCTTAGCCTTCATGCTGTTCAGCTCGATCTTGAGCTTGGGCAGATTGCGCACCAGCGCCGTCTGCGGCGGCGACGACTTCTTGTTGGCCGTCTTCAGCTCGAAGCCGCCCTCGTCGCCGTAGCCGGCCGATTTGCTCAGCTGCGATTGCGGTATGCTGACCACAATGTTCAGATTGGGCACGGCGCCCAGGTTGTCCAGTTCCGTTTCGCGTTCCGGTTCCGGTTCGCTCTTGACGCGCAGCAGCGGTGCCGACGGCTGCGTGCAACTTGTGGCAGCCACACCATAATCACTGTAGCGCATATCGTTGCTGCGCAGGCTCTTGAAGTTGCTTGGCGCTGTGGCGGCATCGTCCGGCTCCCGTTTGGCCAGGCGCTTGCTTTTGGCCAGCTTCTGTGCGGACTTGTTGCGCGCCTTGCTTGTGGCATGCAACGGCAGACGCTGTGTATCCACAGCCACATCCACGTCCATGGCAAAGGTCACCGACTTGCCGCTCTTTGCCGTCGCCGTCGCCGCCGCGGAACTTAACTCAATATCCTGTTTAACCTTTGACAAATTGTTCTCATCGTTTTTTGTTGTCTCGCGTTCGTGCAGCAATATCCTATACCGAAATGCCATGGGCGCGTGCTGTGCAATTGACAAAAGGGCGTGGAACAAAATACAAATAAGCAAAAAGTTATCGTTGGGGCTCTACGAGAATAGATAGATATCCTGCTATACAGATGCTTATATTTATTTACTAATTGTCGACTGTCTTTTATATTATTTAAGATATCAAATTATGAAAATCAAATGAGTTTAGCATTAGAATGCCCAGTTTTCTCGAGATATTTTGAGAGACACAAGAGTTTTCTTCTTATATTTGCCCATTTTCAAGCGATTATTTCTTAGGGAATTCTATAGTATGGATAGATATTTTATATATTTTTTCTTGTTTCTAAGAGAACTATTTAATATGGTTTATCTTTATAGAAACCTTTTAGGCAAACAGTTAGAAGCTCAAGAAAATGGAATTATTATGGAAATTTTGTTCGGTTTTTGTTAAACAACTCAATTATCGTTCGATTCTTTCTATGCAAGCTATATTATATAGTGCAACGATTAATTAAAATTTATTTATATAACGGACATATTATAAAGTTTAACTTTCGTGAAGATAACTCAAAGAAACAAAACAATTTTACACAGAAAAACTTAATTCTGAACGGATAATTCCTATTGCAGCTATATGTTAATGTAGGCTGATGTAAAAAAGTTTTTTGTCTAGCCTTGAATGGCATAGGAAAATCGCAACATTGTTGGTTTTGGTAAAGCTAACTTCAGAAAATAAGTTTTTGCTAACACAATCTCATATTAGAACGATTATTTCTATGCCAGGCTATAGTTCTTCGATTCGTTGGATATCGTAGAATTTGCTGTCTGCAGTTAAAAAGACGAAACTGAATCAAGTTTCATAAGGACAGCTTAGTTCACATAGGCACAAAGACCTCAAAAGGACTCCCCCTAGATTAAACTACCTCAAATAAACTGTGTTTACTTTATGATCTCTGTGTTTTCTGGCCTAATGCGTTGCGCATTTCTTGACAAAACTAGGGCCGGGCATTGTGTGTGCATATAAATTATGGAAAGGACACTAAACTGGCGGCACAATCCGATTTGCCAGCGGCTAATTTGAAGTGCCAGACACAGGCACAGCAAATTCTACCCCAGTCCCAGCCTTAGCCGAAAAAATAGAAATGGAAATAGAAATAGAAAGGGAAATACAAAACATGTGCAAACAAAGTTGAGAACTCACCCGCTTCCACTGGTAACAATAGCCGACATCCATGAGCGTAAAGCTGGGCGGCAGTACCTCATCCTCGTACGTGACCTCGACCTCGACGTGTTTGTTCTCCGCATCGATGTCGTACTTGGAGCAGAGGAAACGCTTCAGATGCACAACCCTCAAGTCGGCGGGGCACTGCAGATAGCAGATGGGCGGCTTTTCGGATGAGCCGCAGTTTTTCAGCATAGCGGGATGATATTCTAGCGATAAACTGTGCAAAAACCGAAAGAAGAAGAAGGCGGAAAAACAAGTGTAAGTGAGATGCAATGCAGCAACAATTAGCTAAAGAAAACTTAACAGAATATTGAGAGCAGCAAATACTTTTCGCGCAATAATATGAAAAGTTCGCAAAGCGAATGAATTGTATCTTTAAGAAGGTATTTACAAGCGCTTCAATTGAAAAGCCGCAGTCTATGGCAAAGAGTTTCCTTCAAGAAAGAAACGAGAAGGATGGATAAGGATAACTGGAAATTGAATTGAATGATATCTGGGATATAAAAGATATTTAACAAAAAAAAAAACCAAAAGAAATATCTCAAAGTAACAAAAAATAATAATTACGAAAAGTTCAGTTGGGAAAGAGAAAATTTGTAAGGAAAAACCATGAAAAATCGCTTTAGGAATAATACGAAAAAATAGCCAAACTCTAGGAATAAATGGAAGCGCATCTGCCATAGAGAACAGGTTGCGGTATCCTACCTAATAGGCTCGCCTGGCGTAAAGAACTCCTGTTGCTGTTCCAGTTGGGGTCTCAGCAGCTCCTCGTCGGCATCCAGTTCCTGGTGCTGTTCCCTGAACTCAGCCAGACGCTTGCATTCGCGCTGATAGAGACCCGGCACCAGTTTATAAATCAGCGCACGCAACGTCTCATCGGATCTGTGCATGGGTCGATTTTGATTTTAAGCTTAGCTTGATGGAAGTGGTTGTCGGGCAAAGGCAAAGTGGCACCTACCTGAGGTTATCCTCGCTGATGTGCTTGCCCCCGCTGGACTTGCACTGTGGGCAGTAAACATCGCGCAGCAAATGCTTCAGAATGCAACTGCGACAATCTGAAAAGTGTCAAACACAAAGCAAAAGAAGGAAACGTTTTTTTTTTTGAGTTTTTTTAATTGAGTTGCAGCTCGTGTGGCTCTTAGGCAGACTCGTGTAGCCCACTTACACGTGTGATAGCAGGCGTCAACTGTGGTGGGCTCTATCATATAGCCCTGACAAATGCGACAGGTCAACAGCTCATTGAACTGGTTCAGCTCGCGAACGGAGCCGTTGCGCTCGGTATGCAGCTTGTCCAGCTGGGTTTCCGTCTTCAGATGCATTTTTATTACAAATTTGTATTTTGTTATTTTTATGTGTAGTTAGCCTCTGTGTAGTTGGTTTTTTAAGATGCTAGCATGTCCTGCAAGGAACAGAAAGGAGTTGAGTTAAAGTAGCGCTCCAGTCAGGCACAATCCCTACAAGCGCTCGCAGTTTTCCAGTTATTAGCATTATATATTGTTAATAATGTATGAATATATCTAAGCTTTTGATGTGTGGCCATCTAATGATGAACAGCGCTTAATGGGACAGCTAGATCTTAGCCAAGGCTGATGACAAAGCTGTTGCGACTGCGCAAAAAGTGGAGAGCTATAAGAGGGCAAAGCTTTACACACACACACACACACACACACACACAAAAACACACACACAGCTAGGCATAAACAAAGGTAAAAAAAAGTAGTGAAAAACTCCAACTGTGAGAAACAACATAAAGCAAAATCCCAGCAAGCAGCAACCGACAACCGACAACCATCATCACCCATCAACATGATTGTGGTCGGGTCTGTCGGTCGGGTCGGTCGGTCGGTCGGGTCTCTAGGTCTCGTCAAACAAAAGCCAAGCACACACACAAGTATCTCTATCTTTGTATCTGTATCTGTATCTGCATCTGTATCTGCTTCTGCTTCTGCATCTGCATCTGTATCTGTGTCTGCCACAAAGATATGGCAACGTCAGGCGGCACTAGACACAACACTTTCAGCTAGTAAATCAGCCATCCATGGAATCGGAACAATGCCGAAAACAAAAATATATATATATATATACATATATATACTTATATATACGAATATATATGTAGATGTATGCACAAAAACAAAAAGACAAGAACAAAAACTAACTCATATGCGAAGCGGACGTAGGGCAGTGGGAGGAGGTGCGGCTGAGAGGGGGAGCTGCTGGGCTTACGGGCGCACAAGCGACGCCCTTTGTGCCACACACAGTTCACCCTACACACAAGCTCGCAACGAGCACACACACACACACACACACACACACGAACTGCGCACTCAACGTGTGTACTTGAATCTAGTTTTAGGTTTTTGCCTCGTCTTCGTCTTCGCCTTCGTCTTCGTCGTCGTCGTTGTCTTCTTCTTCGTCGTGCAAACGAATAAAGTACGAAAATTACGCTCTTGTGTGCCCTACACACACCGACACACACACACACACACACACACACAAACAATCGGCGTTGATAATAATAATCATAATGATGATGATGATGATGATGATAATTATTATGATGTGGGCAGCCAGTTGGATCAGCAGGTTGGCTTGAAGAAGCAGTAGCAAAAGCAGCAGCAGCAGCAGCAACAGCAGTAGAAGAGGAGGGGCAAGAGGAGGGGCAAGGGGAATGTGTGCCACATCATGTTGATGAGATTTGAATGGAACATAGAAAACGGCAGCAAATGTCATGAATGTTAACGTCTATATAAAGTGTGAATAAAGACGTGCCGGGTAAGGTCTTTTAGCAGCTAGTCCTAATTGTGCCTGTCGGCAATTAAGTTGTTTCTACAGATATTAATCGAGACTAGAACATCTAAATGTAATGTATGTTGCATACATAATAATGATAATTTTATGCATATAACATTATTTATTTTTAACAAACAAATACGAAAGCTGTGAGAATTTAAAAAAATTACATTCTCTGAGTTTATTCTACATTTTTATGTTAATCAAAGCACAAAAACTGTCAATTTTGTATATGATAAAAAAGTTGAAAACCCAAATAGTAAAATTTCAAAAATGTTAATTAATAATTCTTAAAATTTAACGATCTGCAGAAAAACTCTATTTTTTTTTTTTTTTTAGATTTTTGAAAGTTCTCTAGACATAAAAATTGGAAAACAGAAAAGGAAATTGCCTGAACATTTCCAAAGGAAAATATGTTGAAAAACAAACACATCCATTTTATGAAATATATTCAATCAACTAAAAAATGTGGAGTGTCAGAAAAATGAATTAACAAAAATATCTTTTAAAAACAATATTGAATCAGGTAATTTTCAAAAATTGGATCCCTACCTTCAGATAATCTAGGACACACTTCAAACTTGTGAATGCACAGCTTAATCAAAAGCATTTTATAATTGTATATGAATTGGAAGAGTAGCACTCCTTTTCTCAAAACCTATAAAAAATCCAGACCTTGAACCGACTAAACTATCAACATATTGCATAATTTTACTTTACAAATAAACAAAAAGGCTTTCATTTTTAAACTCTTTTCTTAAGACTTATCCTTAAACTAGTTCGCATTTCTTCGAATTACCCGGCTTTTGCATTTACCAAAGACTATCTATATTTCCTATATTTCGCTACGAACCCGCAATTGAACTTATTTTCATTTTTTAATCTTATTTATTTTGTACCCTATGTTATTTGAGTACTCTATTCCATTCTGATACCTTCTTTTGAGGCTTGTCTTATTGTCTGCCTTAAAAATGATCAGTTCTTTAATAACTAGATTACTTTATTAATTATATAATATTAACGCCAGCATTCTAACTTTATCTAGAGCTTGGATTCCTATAGAAATCCATTTCCTTGAGAAACTCTGCCAAGTGTTAGCTCTTACAATTAAAAGTGTTAATTTGAGTGAAGGTGGTTTGCCGTAAAAAAGAGTTCAACAACCCTGTTTGGGGCTTATGTGTTTGGATGCATATTGGATGTTTATATTTAAATTGATATAGTTCTAGTTTTTGGACTCGGACATGCTCTACTCACAATTAGAAACTGAGCTGTAGGGCAACTAAAAGTCGCATTGGCTCGCTATGCGCTGCCCACTTTTTCTTCCTCATCTTCTTCTTCTTCATTTTGTTGTTGCCTTTGACATGTTTCTGCTCTGTACGTCACACGCTCACGCGAAACTGGCACGAAAGCAGCTTGTAAAAGGCGAAAGACGAAATAGGCGGCAGCAGTGACAACAAGCCGAGAGAAGCTGCGCTGCGATGCGATGCGATGCGATGCTAGCAAAACACAGAAAAACAAAAACAAAACAAAAGGCGAGCAAAAAAGGAAGGCAGCAAAAACAAAAGCTGGCAAACCAAGTCAAAGTGGGCACAAGGAGCGAGGGGCGCGATAAGGTAGCTGGACACAGCGGTAGCTGCAGCTTATGTAGAAGAAGAAAATGCAAACGTAGCTAAGGATAATGAGAATGTGTGGGCAAGGCAAACACTCAAATGCCATTCATCAATGCTGCCCACGCCCACGCCCACGCCCACACACACACACACACACACACACATAGACACGCGCGCGTGGCCCACTGTGCCGGTCTTTGTGGGTGGTTTGGGCGTACAATTGACAACATTGATGACGTCTTCAATGTCGTTGTCGTATTAGTTTACGAGCAAGGCTCACACTAACACAGACACACACACACACACACACACAAACGCACACACGCACACGCTGACAGTGACGAAATGGCCACAGCTTGCACAGTGGGCAGAGGCTTCGCCGCGCTGTTATCGCTATCGAAACGAAGCGAAACAATAACAACAAAAACAGCCGGAGCAGCAGTCGCAGCAGCAACTGGCGCCGGCACGAGCGCACTTTACAACACCAACCCGCAGGGTGGTTACACACACACACACACACACACACACACACACACACATGCACATATATAAACACACGACGCGCACGCAACAAGCTTTGCCGATGACGAGAGACGCGGCAACACAGCGAATATATATTGAAATTTGAGGCAAAATCTACTTGCGTTATGAACGTGCGGTATTTGTCCACAACAGCAGCCGCTGAAAATACAACTAAAAGCAATGCACGAAATTCAAATGCTACGCTGCGTTCGTACTCGCACTCGGGTACTCGCCGCGCAATTGAGGCGAAACGAGCGCTCGGACAGCAACAGAAAACACGAAGCAGCGACGACGACGACGACGACGACGACGACACCAATTTGTATCTATTCGCCGCGGCGAGAGAGCGTACGTTGTTGGCCGCCCCTAGTGGGCTGTGTGGGGAGAGCATAGCATAGCGCGGCACAACCAAAACCCAAAACAAAACTTTCTACAATTTGCGCGCGCGTGTTTTCGCCTTCGCCGCAGTTTTAGTTTCGGTTGTTTGTTTTTTTTTTTTTTCGCTCATTTCGAACTGGCAGCGACGAAAATTCCAATACGACAACAACACAAACGCACTTGTCACGTGTACGTGTGTTTACAAAATTTTCACACACACACTGATGGGAGAGCGTTATAACATTTTTTTTTCGTTACATTTCGCCGCGCTCGCCGCGCAATCAAATGCAAAGTGAAATTTTTCTTCTTATTAGAAATGTACACACAACAGCGCGAGTTTTTCCCAAACGTTGAATTTTTCTGCCAAGCTGCGACGCAAATTGTTCGGGCAGTGGCCACAAATTACGGTAACTAGTTACCGGCTATAATGCTGCAAACGAATTGAAATCTATTTTACGCACAAGCATAAATCGATTCAAGCCAAATGATGAACTAACTCTTCTTCTTCTTATTCTGCTTCTTACTTTATAGCACTTGCCGACACATATACACGCTGTATGTGTGCGCGCTTCTTTCACTTCAGCTGCTGCTGCTGCTGCTCTTATCGATTTCTCATACACGTTTTTATTATCACGAACAGCCGCTGAGATTTTCAGCGCTCTTGCTCTGTCTCTCACTCACTCACTCAATCACTGTCTCTCTTTTGCTGACAGCGAAAAATTTTACTTTACTCCGTCCACAAAGTGCACGGCACGAAAACTGTTCAAAGACTGATTCTGATTAGACCTGCCAACGATTTCGGCACCGCGCTGCCAATGTTCGCGTCTGCGCCTGAGAGGCCCTCGTGAGAGCGAGAGCTAGCGAGAGCGAGACAAAGAGACGCTCTGTTGCCGTTTCGCGCCATTGCTGTACCGCCCACCCTGCGGCTGTTGTGAGGCTTGATTGGCTGCAAGTGCTGCGTTCGGCTGCTCGGCTCTGGCACGAAGACTTCGTGCCTCTGCTCGTGTCTGCATGTGTGTTTCTGTGCGTGCGTGTGTGTGTATTGCGTTGCGCTGCCTTTACCTTTTTGGGGTGGCTGTGCGTTGCGTACCTGTGTGCGTGTGTGTGTGTGTGTGTGGGTGCCGTTTTTAATTGAATTCAACTGTCAAATGAGAGATTAACGCTACTGCATTGACGCTGGCGTCGACAGCGACAGCGACGTCGTCAATCGTGCCAGCTACGTATTGGCCTTGGCGTTTATAATTATCGCGAATTCTCTGCCGCTGTCGCTGCCGCTGCTGCTGCTGCTGTTGCTGCTGTTGTTGTTTCTCGCTCACACTCTGTCCGTTGGGCATTTTGTATAAAATATGAATATGCCCCGTTTGCATGACTTGTGGGGCCACATGCGAAAGGTAACGTCCTCTCCATTGACTGTATGCGTGCGTGTATCTGTGTGTGCGTGCGTGTATCTGTGCGCTTGTGTATCTTTTAAGCTGTATCTCTGCCTGTCACAGACACGCACTTGACACTTGAAGCCTACTTGATCTCGCTTCTCGTTTTGACAGTCAGGGGGCGGCTTTTTATTTATTTTTCTTCTTTTTTTTTTGATTTCAATTCAATTGAAAACGACTTCAGCGGCTGACAAAAATTTGCATTTCAAAGGCTTAAAGGAGACGGAGCCAAAAGCGACGTCGGCGACAAGGACAAGTGCCAAATCGCATATCCTTGAGCATTTTTTGTGGCACGTCTTCGCGTTGATTTCAAGGCTTGTTAGGCATTAATATGCACAGCAAAAGGTGGAAAATTCGTATATCGCGATTATTCAGTTTTATAAACGATGCAGATACGTGTTTTATTTAGATATATGCATGATACGTAAGCCAGGACAGCGAGTACAGTCAAATCGTACAGTGGAACATCACTTTAATGTACATGTCGTCCATTTTCCGCTTGCTCTGCGACTCAAACCAGATATACCTAAACCTTCACCTTCTTCAATATCATGAATTACATTTCAATTATTAATATCTTTTGGAAAATATCAGTTGTCTTTGCCATAGCCAATTTGCCTATATCTTTTTCTCTTACTTTCTCTCAATTTCTAGCTCTTTCCGCCTATTTCTCTCCATCGCTTGCTTTTTCTATCGATGTGTCCCACTCATTCACTCGCTTTCTCGATCTTCGTTCGTTGATTTTCTCTCACTCGCGTTCTTATTCTCGCTCTCTCTCTCTCTCTCTATATCTCTCCAGTTTTTCTCTTACACGCACTCTCTCGCTCACAATCTCAATTATTTATTCTCTCGCAATTACGCTCTCCTGTTTGGTCTTATTCTCCCATATTTTCGTTATAACTTTCTTTTATCCTCTTTTTCTTCATCTTCCTCCTTTCTCTCTCTCTCTCTCTCTCTCTTTTTCTCTCTCTCTCTGTCACATACAGTCCCTCATTCGTTCTTGTTTTCTTTTCCCCTACATCACCAGATTTTCCGTTTGTCAAATAATGCTTCAAAACTATTTTTTCTCCCTCTTTCTTTAAATATATCTCTCTCTTTTCTCTCTTTCCCTCTCTCTCTCTCTCTCTCTCTCTCTCTCTCTCTCTCTCTCTCTGGCTCACTTTCTCTCTCACTGTCTCAAATTCGTTATCGTTCTCTTTTCCTAACCATCGCTATTACTCGCTTTTTCCTTTGTCAAATATGACCCTTCTATGCGATTTTCATAATCACACTTAGGCTCCACCGAGTTTGTTATTCTTTAGTGTGATGTGTGTTGCTAAAGCCTTATACTATTAGAATGGGGAAAGTTAATGGGTGACTGTATTGTATAAATCATCATCAACGATTTAAATAAGTCAGGTAATTGCACGAAAATGGTTTCCGAAAATGTTAAGAAGGGAAACGCCTATTAGACGATAAGTATAAATAATACATTTTAAGGGGGAGTAAGGCACTAAACTCAAGTCTTATCCAATCCTGACCAGCCCAGTTCCGGAGTCGAGTAGAGATCTATAATATCTGCTTCCGTCCAGAAGCTGCTTTTGGCTAGAGGCTTGTCCGGTTATATTATCCGTTGACTTCTACATTTCCGGTTACACATTATTTATGCATACTCCCAATCTCTGTTGGAATGGAGCTGCATGCTAAAGTAATTATATGTGGACCCACACTGCTCCAAGCTGATGCAGAACCCATTTGGAATGCTTTGGGCGAGTGTCTAACTGCATCCATGAGAGATAGATGCGTGTGTGTGTGTGTGTGTGTCCTTGCGACCCAGCTGGATATGAATCCTCCTGGCAAAACGAATAATTAATGTGTGTGTAGCAACCGACTGTGGTTTTGTCTGTGCGGTTGCATATTACGGTTACGAGAAGCTGCATGAGTTGAATATTTGCCGAGTTCGGTTGCACCACAACAGACATGCGGCAGATACTTCTGTTTGACTGTAGATACACATTTGTTATGTTTAAGCAGTTTCTCGACTGTCTGCATTAACGCGGGCCTCTTCCAATTTCAAATTCAATTGTATTGTTAAGTTTAAATTAATGTATCTTAATATTTCCAGCCGTTCCATCTAGACGTTGCACACAGTTTCTTTTCGTTTTTTGTTCCGTTCCCATTTCGTTTCTCTATTTTGTGTTCAAGATCTCCATTTTCTATGCGTTCCATGTACATTTTACACACAGTTTCTTTTTGACTTTAGTTCCGTTTCCACTCAGTTTCGTTACGTGTTATATGTAAGGCAAGATCTCTTTTCTCATATTTCTTCTGTTTTAATTCGTGTTTTTTCCCATTTCGTTTCGTTCCAGTTACATAACTTAATTTTATTTTGTTCTCGACTTGCCGTTACGTTCTATAAGAAACAGTTTAATTCTTCGTGTTTTTATGGTTTCTGTTCCATTCCGTTGCGTTCCAGATAAAGTCATTTTTTTGGGCCAGCTTCATTTCATTCCATTGCCAGTTCGTTTTATTTCCTCCCATTTATTTGCTGCCTGCTTAAATTTAGCTGTATTCCACTTCCATTTCGTTTCGTTCCGTACAAGTACAGCACCCTGGCTATTCATGCAATTTGTTAGCTTTTTCAATTAAGTTCTAATGCCATTTCGTTCCGTTTCCTGTGCACATATAGCACCCGCTTTTCTCTTCTGTCGCAGCCAAACTGTTAAATATCAAATAAATTTTGACAGGTGCGCTTATTACGGCAATTAATATCCCGGTCTGTTCCTCTCATCCTCACATCCTCTCGCTCTGTTATTTTCTTTCACGGTCTCGCCACAATTAGGTGGAATGTACTTTCAAAGTGACATTTATCAAAAGGGCGCATAATTTATTAGGCAAAGTACGCACACACAAAAAGACAAAGACAGTCACAGAGAGTCAGGCAAATGTATCAAAAAGAGAGAGGCAGAAAGTGGGCAAAATATAAATATGCAATAAAAATAAAAGCCAAAATGAGCTGAATTAAGGGTATAAACGAGCGAGTAAACATGAAAGATTTGCGAGCCAGCTAAAAATCTGTGAAGTATCTTTTCATATTAACCCTCAAAAAACGCAATGCGCGCATACGTGCATCTATATATTTATGTATGTGTGCAGTGGAATACGTAATGAGCACTTGCGGTACACGTAAACGTAAACGTCTAGAGCTGAATGCCAGCTACACTCCAAATACCAACAACAACAACAACGACAACAACAACAACGGCAGCGAGCAGCAGCCGACGGCTGCTCACTCACCACTGCTAGCCACACAAACACTTGCATGCATACAAACACACACACACACACATGCACATGCACACAAGCGCTACGCTTTCTTGCTGCTGCTATTGCTATTGCTTTTGACTCGTCGTTCATCGTTCCCATTTAATGTTGCGCACACACACACACACACATGCGAGCAAAGCACACTACCCAGCGCACAATTTAGTCAGCGCCTGGCAGCGCACATGTAGCGCTTGTTAGTAGATTTCCTAGCGGGCTGGTTTGCGTTTCGTGCTGTGCCCTGGCCACGGCAGCATACAAATTTTGCTGCTGACGTTGGCAGCGACAGCGGCAAGTTTCACGTAGTGCGCAAACATGGCGATGGCGTTGCCGCTGCCGCTGCCGTTGTTGTTACGTTTGCAGTTGCTTTTTCGCTGCAGCGATACAGTGGAGCTGTATGCGTGCGTGTGTGTGCGTGTATAATATTTACTTTAAAATTGCAAACAGGCTGTCCGAAGCAGTCGTCCAGCCCCAGCAGCAGTGCAGGCCATCCAACACCACCACCATCACCCCCGCGCACACTGCACAGACAAACCACCACTTTGCTGGGAGCAGCGACGCTGACGCTGGCCGCGACTGCGGCATATTTACATTTTGATTGGGAAACTGTTGAGGCGCATTTTGATGCCGCGTTCGTGGGTGTAGTTTAAAAGGCTGCCGTTATTGCTGTTGTTGTTTCAGTTGTTGCTGCGCCTTTTTCGTTTCATTTCGTTTTACACACACACACAGCTTTGAAGCTCTTGTGTTGTTGTTGTTGCTTTGTGCTTTGTC